CATGAGGATTCCAGGAGGAGAATGGTCCATGCTTAATGCTGGAAGAGAAATCACCATCTTTTAGTTATACAACCAAAGTCATTCAATTGTCTTCTTATGCTTCCTGTAGGACTGGAACTCACCTTTTAGGGAAGATTTCATCAATCCTACTTCAGGATTAGTACTCACCACCTCCTTGTGATTGTCCCAAAGTCCCTCTGCCACCTATCATGAGGATTCCAGGAGAAGAATGGTCCATGCTTAATGCTGGAAGAGGAGTCACCATCTTTTAGTTATGCAACCAAAGTCATTCAATTGTCTTCTTATGCTTCCTGTAGGACTGGAACTCACCTTTTAGGAAAGATTTAATCAATCCTATTGCAGGATTAGAACTCACAAACTCCTCATGATTGCCCAAAGTCTCTCAGCCATCTACCATGAGGATTCCAGGAGGAGAACCATGCCTAAGAAAGGATGAGAAGTCAATATTTTTAACTTATTCACCCAAAATCAGTCTACTTTTTGTTCTGCGTGCTGCAAGAGTCCTGCTCACCTGTTTCTAGAATAATTGATCCAACCAGGATTAGAACTTACTATCTGCTGGTTGTTGGCCCAGGGTCGCTCTGCCACCTAGCATGAGGATTCCAGGAGGAGAATGGTCCATGCTTAATGCTGGAAGAGAAATCACCATCTTTTAGTTATGCAACCAAAGTCATTCAATTGTCTTGTTTTGCTTCCTGCAGGACAGGAACTCACCTTTTAGGGAAGATTTAATCAATCCTACTGCAGGATTAGAACTCACAAACTCCTCATGATTGCCCAAAGTCTCTCAGCCAACTACCATGAGGATTCCAGGAGGAGAACCATGCCTAAGAAAGGATGAGAAGTCAACATCTTTAACTTATTCACCCAAAGTCAGTCTACTTTCTGTTATGCGCACTGCAGGAGTAGAACTCACTTTTTAGGGGAAGATTTCATCAATCCTACTTCAGGATTAGAACTCACCACCTCCTTGTGATTGTCCCAAAGAGCCTCATCCACCTAGCAGGAGGGGTCCAGGAGGAGAACCATGCCTAAGAAAGGATGAAGTCAACTTCTTTTACTTATTCACTCAAAGTCAAGTCTACTTTCTGTTCTGCGCACTGCAGGAGTGGAACTCACCTTTTAGGGGAAGATTTCATCAATCCTATTGCAGGATTAGAACTCACCACCTTTAAGTATTTGCCCCAAGTCACTCAGCAACGGGTTGTGAGTATTCCAAAAGTAGAATATGCACGTAGTGAAATCATCGTATATTGGTTATTCGGCCACAGTTATTCAGCTGTCTGTGATGCATGTTATTAGAACTCACCTTATAAGGGAGGAATTCATCATGGCTACTGCAGGACTTGAACTCACCGTCTCCTGATGAGTCACCCACAGACCCTCAATTGCCTGTCGCATTACTTTTATCTACTTTGAATTTCATTTTGCTTGATAGGATTCATGTCTGTCAAGATCTTTTCGGATCCTAAGCTTGTCTTCTGCTGCGTTGGCTTTTCCTGCCCACTTAAGTGTCATCTGCAAATTTGATGCGTTCCCCTTGTCTGGATCCTTTATGAAGAGTCCCGAGGTTAAAACAGGATCTTGGATAACCTCTGCTTGACTTCCCTCCACGTGGGTGTAGCTCCCTTCGAGGACTACACGTTGAGTATGTTTGATCAGCCAGTTGCAAGTCCCTCTGGTAGTGATGCTAGCTATCCCACCTTCTTCTCACTTTCCAAGAAGTTGTGGTCCACTTTATCAAAAGCTTTATTGAAATCTGAAATCTGCTGTCAGATGCTTTTCTGAAATCTACCTTTATTGTGTCAACAGCCTTTTGCTGATCTACTGATTTCTTCACTTTGTCGAAGAACGAAATCACGTTGTTTTGGCATCATCTGTTTTTGACCAACCCAAACTGTTGACTTCTGGTTATAACTTCATTTGCTTCAAACTGTTCTCAGAGTTGTGGCTTGGTTATCTTTTCCAAGATCTTCCCAGGTATTGATTTTTTCAGATTTAACAGATTAACAGAGTTGGAAGGGACCTTGTAGATCATCTAGTCCAATCTCCCCGCCCCAGCAGGAGATCCTTCACCATTTCTGACAGATGGTACTCCAGTCTCCTCTTGAAAGCCTCTAGGGATGAAGCTCCCACAACTTCCGAAGGCAACTTCTGTCCCATGGGTGGATTGTTCTCATTTGTCAGGAAATTCCTTCTTATTTCCAGGTTGACTCTCTCCTTGGTCAGTTTCCATCCATTCTTCCTTCTCTGCCCTTCAGGTACCTTGGAGAATAGCTTGACCCCCTTCCTCCTCTCTGGGGCAGCCCCTCAAATATTGGAAGATGCTCTCCTGCCTCCCCTGGTCCTTCCCTTCCCTAGACCTTCCCTAGCCCAGTTCCTGCAACTGTTCATCGGATGTTTTAGTCTCCAGGTCTTTGATCATCTTAGATACATCCATATTAACAGAATTGGAAGGGACCTTGTAGGTCATCTAGTTCAAGCAGGAGACCCTACACCATTTCTGACAGAGGGCAGTCCAGTCTCTTCTTGAAAGCCTCCCATGATGAAGCTCCCACAACTTCCGAAGGCAACTTCTGCTCCATGGGTTGATTGTTCTCCCTGTCCTTATTTCCAGGTTAAATCTCTCCTTGTTCAGTTTCCATCCATTCTTCCTTGTCTGGCCTTGGGGTGCTNTCATGTCTCCCCTAGTCCTTCTTTTCATTAAACTAGACATACCCAGTTCCTGCAACTGTCCTCGTATGTTTAACTTGTATATCAGACAATGAAACCTTCTTGGTCTCAATTTATTTATTTTTGTTCTGTCTTGATTGATTCCCAAGGCCGCAGGACATTTCCTAGGAGTTATGCTCCTCCTGAGAACCTGTTCCAGCTTCTGCCTTCCAGCCGAACCAAGAGTTTCAACGGAGACAGCAAGTTAATCACCATGCGGTACGAGGAACGGGGGAACAACAAGTGGTGGCACAATTGCGACAAGATCTTTGAAGGCTTCAGTTCTCCGTCTCCCAAGGCCAGGAACAGTAAGTCGCTCCAGAGTTGGGGTTGTCTGTTGGGTTATGTGGACGTAGTTGGGAATTCCTTGGTGACCTTCAACGCTACCTTGGACCCCTCTTGGGGATTCACTCAGAGGAGGAACATCTGGGTTGGCTGATAACGTAGACCGTTGTGTGGAACAGATGGCCTTAGAGGGTGCTATTTGCCTTGAGCGGGAGGGGGAGAGGGAAGCACCCTTGAATGGTGGGGAGACCATCCCTTGTTTGCCGTTTTCCAGAGATAAGATGATGGTCTCAAGGGCGGGACGAGAGGAGGTCTACAGCCCCCTTGCTATCAAAACAAGGCTTCTATTCTGAGTCAAAAATCCTTGAGGAAATTTGGACGTCTTCCATGGTTGATGGTGCAAAGTTTAAAACAAAAACCGAATGGCCCCACGGCTTCCCTTGTCTTCCCCGATTTCCATTTCAAGACTTTCCTGGAATGACCCAGGTCTTCTCCAATGTTTTCAGAGACCTATGGAAGAAGGAGAATATTTGCAGCTCAGGGTTGAACTGCAGGGGTCCTTGGTGCTCTCTGAGGTTTTCCAATGGAACCCACAAATTGTGCAAGAGAAAAGAAATCGTGTTACCGTATTTTTTGGAGTACAAGACGTATCTTTCTCTCCACCCTCCACAAGAGCGTGGAAATGTTGGTGCGTCTTATACACCGAATACAGCCGATTTTGGCTTCCTGGAGCTCTGCCCCGCATCCCAATTTTGAAAAAAAAAAAAAACAGGCCGTTTTTCGCACCAATTGAGGTGTTTTTGCCTTCCCCCAGCCCCCAGGAGCACACTGCAAGCTTCAGCACGGGTGGGGAAAGGCAAAAACACCTCTANGAGGAAGCACAGAAGGAAATGAAAGAAAAAAGGGAAAGAAAGAAAGAAAAGAGGAAGCACAGAAGGAAATGAAAGAAAAAAGGGAAAAAAAGAAAGAAAAAAGGAAGGAAGGGAAAGAAAGAAAGAAAATTTGGCCAAAATAACTTCAGTCACCAAGTGGTGGCTAACATCACCTTGACTTTTTTTCTATCATTCCCTGCAGATCTTTTGGGAATAACTTAGGTAGGCAGTGCAGGAACTTCCTATACCTGTGATGGGGAACTTGTGGCAGGTGTTCCAGTGGAGGCATGCAAAGCCCTCTCTCTGGGTCTGCACGCCATCACCAGCCGCTCACTGGTTTCCAGTGCATGCATGCGCTCGCAAGCCAACTGATCCAGAAACATCTTCCTGTGTCCATCTTCCTTTAAAGGCGTTGTTTTTTTTTTTAATGGCCAGCCTAAAATCAGCCTTGTCAAAGAACAAATTGGACATGTGTTTCTTGGAATAGCAGTTTCCACACTTAGAGCTGCGGTAGCTGAACATTATAAAGCTGAATTCCAACATATGTGAAGGACAAATTCTGGCGTATCAAGTATGTAAACGAGATAAGAGAGAGATGGAAAGAGACAGAGAGTCTGTGCTTAAAGCCACCCAGCTAGAAAGGAAGGGACCTTGAATCCAAGTCCGACCTTAGCCCTGGAAGACAGCTGGTGGATCCTGGACCTGACCCTCTTCCGCCAGCCCACCTCACAGGGTTGTTATTATTGGGTGGATAAATAGAAGATGGTGGGATATGTTCACGGCCTTAACTGTTAAAATTGATGAAGTGAGAAACGAACAAGCGGAAAGGACAGAAGAAATCCAGAATCTGTTTTCTATTACACCAGAATTCAAGACATGAAATAGTGATATAGAATAGAATGGAATGGAATAGAATAGAATAGGAAAGAATGGAATAGGATGGAATGGAATAGAATAGAAAGGAATGGAATGGAGTGGAATGGAATAGAATAGGAAAGTATGGAATGAAATAGGATGGAATGGAATGGAATAGGATAGAATAGAATAGAATAGAATAGAATACGAAAGAATGGAATGGAATAGGATGGAGTGGAGTGGAATAGAATAGATAGAATAGGAAGGAGTGGAGTGGAATGGAAAGGAATGGAATAGAATAGAATAGAATAGAATAGAATAGAATAGAACAGAATAGAATTCTGTATTAGCCAAGTGTGATTGGGGACACAAGGAATTTGGTGCAGATTCTCTCAATGTACATAAAAAGACAAGATACATTCATCAAGAATCATAAGGCACAACACTTAATGATAGTCATAGCATACAAATAAGCAATCAGGAAACAATATCAATATTAATCATAAGGATACAAGCCACAAAGTTACAGTCTTGCAGTCGTATGTGGGAGGAGATGGGTGATAGGAACGATGAGAAGATTAATAGTAATGCAGCCTTAATGAATAGTTTGACAGTGGTGAGGGAATTATTTGTTTAGCAGAATGAGGGCGTTCGGGGAAAAACTGTCCTTGTGCATAGTTGTTCTGGTGTGCAGTGCTCCATAGCGTCGTTTTGAGGGTAGGAGTTGAAACAATTGATGTCCAGGATGCGAGGGGTCTGTAGATATTTGTAAATAAATAAAATGTAAACAAAAGGATTGGAAAGTGGTGCCTTCCGCTAACTTCAGATCATTCCTTGATCCTCACTGAATGTTACAGTTGAAATGTTCTAGTAGCAAAGAGAAGAGGGAAGAAGAGGTGGTTCCATAGAGGGATCTTCATTTCAGGAGAGGTTAAACGAATTTGGGGGAAATTCCTTTCATTGGGATTCCCACGCCACTTTCATTGGGATCCCAGCTGTCCTCTTCTATAAATCATGGGATTGTTTGATTTAAGAAATTATGATGCAAGAATACATCAAGATGACTCATAAACTTGGACAAGATGATTTTGCTCAAGCAAAACTCCCCAATCCAGTTTAAGGAGACCCAATTAGCTTAAAAACAAGCTATATTCCCATTCGGTCAACACACTCAGGGAGGGACACTGCACATACATGTAAGAAACACGGTTAATGTACCGATAGACCTTGACTTACAATGCTTCATTTAGTAAGCGTTCACGTCTTACTTGGCAACAGAGCTCTTGGGCTCCATTGTGGTCATAGGTTGAGGACCACTTAGAATAGCAGAGTTGGAAGGGACCTTGAAGGTCTTCTAGTCCAACCCCCTGCTTAGGCAGGAAACCCTATACCACTTCAGACAAATGGTTATCCAATCTCTTCTTAAAAACTTCCAGTGTTGGAGCATTCACAACTTCTGGAGGCAAGTTGTTCATTGATTAATTGTTGCAATGTCAGGAAATTTCTCCTTAGTTTTAAGTTGCTTCTCTCCTTGATTAGTTTCCATCCATTGCTTCTTATTCTACTCTCAGGTGC